CTTAATCCAGGAGGCTGGCCCGGTGGCATAGTGGTTAAGTTCACATGCTCCACTTCGGAGGCCCGGGGTTCATGGGTTTGGATCCTGGTGTGGACCTACACACCGCTCATCAATCCATGCTGTGGCAGCATCCCACATACAAATAGAGGAATATTGGCACAGATGTTAGCTCAGGGCCAATCTTCCTCACCAAAATAAATAAATAAATAAACAAATAAAATATTTAACCCATATGATATCTTGTGAGATATTTTCATAATTTTATAGATAATGTAAAAACTTGATGCTCAATGATTCTTGTATTTACTATCATTATGGAACTAACAGCATTATTAAATAGTAGCATGAGGGGAAAGAGGAGGACATCAGAAAATAGTACAATTTTTTTTAAAAAGCTATTATTACATATTATATATACTATATATTATATATTGGCTCGTTCTTACTTAATATTTACATATATTCTGAAATATAGATTCAGATGTATTAGATTCAATGTATTATTTTCTAAAAATGAACTGTATACTTTAAAAATGCTCAAAATTAGCAAAGATCTTCAGTAAAATCTACTATGCTCAGTCCGTAAAATAATTAGTCATATTCTCTCTCAACAAAACTACACATTCCTCCAGGAAACAAGGCATTATAAACAGGAGAGCTAACAAGTCACACTTCTGTTTTAAACTGTGGGAGTGCACAGATGAGGGGGAAAGGCAGTTACTCCTCTGGGCATCCCAGTCCAGTCAGGACAATGACGCAGGAGAGGGATCACAGAAAACAGAGTAACCGAGTTGGCCTAGAAGATTCCCATATGTACCGCCAATGAGTTCCCATTTGACCAGGATGTTCAACTAAGTGTGCTAGTTACAAAAAGCAGACAGGGAAAAAGCCTCCCAAGAAAAAAAAAATAGTGTGTATTTAGGAGAAAGGGAATTCCATTCATGTCAATGTGCATTTGTTGAGTGCCCACTCTGCCCTTTTTTATCTAAAAAAGGCAGTTGCTCTCTGCAGTGAGCACAGGCTCATGTGGCTTCTGCTGATCATCTTCAGCTTTATAATCTATTCAGCTTTTCACAGGCTCAGGATTTCAAATTATAGTTTGGGCACACGTTTTATTTATGGCAAAGGATAGGACAAGAGCTACTACTTGAATTCATTTTGCTAGTGTTGATTATAAAGAATTTGAAACTACAGTGTTGAATTTAGAGAGTTTGTGATCACATACATATTCACCCTTCCTCAAACTCTATGATGATTTTGCTAGTTTGGAATCTCTCCTGTCGTTTGATTGCAAATTAAGTGTGTACAGTGTTGGTTTATTTTTCTCTCATTTAAAGCCAGAGTGACTTGATGTTGTTTGCTAATGATGGAAAAAGAAAAAGATTTATAATTATTCTTAATCTGATTTATTTTTAGCAGCTATAGCAACAAATGCTAAATTTGAATAGTACTTTATAGTTGACAATGAACTTTCTCTTATAGCCTCATTTAATACATTCTTTATACCAATGGTAAAGGTGTGTTAACCAATTGAAGAGAATTGGAAAGGAAGAGAGGGCAAAACACTTATTGAGTACTCTATTAAAGATTAGACACTTTATTAGTTCCTTTATGTATATTATAAATCCATTGCCAATGACAAAAAATATTTCCTAAATAATAATAAATAATCCTCAGTCACCTTTATTCTCTTCCTGATTCCCTCAGTAATGGATAGCCTCTTTTACAAGATGACTGGCTAGGGGCAGGATGAGAGTCTTGAATCCATGATGATCACTTCATTCTCAGAGCATAACCAACCACTCTGAAACAGTGCCTGGAAGCAGATAATAAAACTCTTCTAATGAGAAAGCTGAATGTTCTTGGGTTAAAATTCTGGGGTTAAAAACTATCTAGGGGCTTCAACAACAGCATTCAGCTAAGGCAAACTATACTCCTTCATTCACACTTTCTTTTAAATAAAGAGTTCAAGTTAGCCGGTTGTTCATTTGGAATGAGTTGTATGAATATCATATAGGAAAATATGAATTATGAGTTTTCTATTTGTAATTAAAATAAATATATTTAAGTATATGAACTCACTAAACAGTAACCTGGAACAGAGCCCAGCCACTAAGGAAATAAACTGGTACACTAAAAGGTTGATCACTGGAAACTTCTGGGTAAGTTGAGGAAACATTTAACTTTAACTTGCAAACTGGTTTACTTGTTGAGCTGTTTGGATGCCACTCTTTTACTCGGAATAAATGAAAAAAGTCAAATTGTCCCACTTCCTTCTGCTTTCTCCTAAGAGCAGCAACTCCAGCTTTGATGTAGTTAGGAGCCAGAGGAAAGCTTAGGTTATAAACCCAAATGGCAAACAAATAAAAGGCCATGAACCACATTTCCGAAGCCAGCAGACACCGCAGGCAGAAGCCTTTCATCATTGCACAGGTGACTGCTGTACAACGTGGTCGACGGACTTGCCGAAGTAGCACAGGGAGCTAAGAGCCGTAGTAGTTTGTTAAGAATTAGTGCAAAGTTAAAGATACTGCAAGAATTATTTGATCAGCCACCGATTCAGAAATCGTTATATTGAAAAGTTTGGAGTTATTATCCTAACAATAATGTGTGTGTCTGTGTGTGTATGTGTTCAGCAAACTGCAACAATGACAAAGCATATTAGCAAGAAAGCAGAATGCAAAATGTGTTTTCATTAAAATAATTTACCATACATTTTTTTCCAAACACATTTCCTTTCTGTGTGGGTTTTAGACATTTTAATAAGATTTACACAGTGAAAGCACTTGATTGGAGAATCCTTCTGGAAATAATTTGCTTGAATCTGTAAGCGTGTGCTACACTGGAGAGCACACTGCAGGAGTCCAGCCAAGGTAAGGGACTGTGGGGAGTGAAGCTTTCCACCGAGTGATCAAGTTGAGGGATTGTGAGTGAGTGAGTGAGAAGGAAAAGAAAGAGGCATCTTCTAAGACCTTATGCCCTCTCGTCTACATGTCTGTGAATGTTTTCTATTTGTTTTCTGGTTCTAGACCCTCATTACTCTAGTGCATGTTGAGCACTGTAGTGTCTCTCACTAACTCCCAGTCTCTTTCTTGGGTCTGGCTCCCATCTCTCCAATTCGATTTATCTTGTGCTCACTTCTCTACAGTTTCATGCATTCTTCAAAACTCAGTGTAAGCCCTACTCCTTCAAAGTTCTTCTGGCAGTACTCTCTCTGAACAGCTCACTTGTATGAAAACACCAAAGAGAGGTGTCGAGTTTACTGAGATAGTTCTAATCACATATCCCACTCTCCTCCACAGGATAAAACTTACTCAGTATACCTGTGGTTAAATCCCAATTTCTCCTTTTCCCGTCTTCTCCCGTTGTGTTCCTCCACACATTGTGTGGTATTATCTCACCGGAAACTGTTCTTCCAGTACATACATTTTCCTATTCTGTGCTTTGATTTCTGCCATTTCCCTCAGAGTATGGGAGTATTAAACTAATGTTTCTTGAGGTTTTATTGAACTATGCTAAATCTTTTACTGCAATTTGTCATTTAGCTGTACAACAATGCTATGAACCAGTACTATTGCTTTTCCAAATAACAGATGAGGAAATTCAGGCATAATGAGACTTAATAACTTATCTCCTAAGGTTCCAACCCATTTCTCTAAAGCAATATATTGTCCTCCTTGAGCATTATTTCAGAAACAGTGAAGTGCTTTGAGATGCAATGTTATTGGAACACATTTTGATGAATATGGCTTAAGATTTTGATGTCGTGAATTCTTGGAACATCCATGCCTTTTTTGTTGTTGTTTTATCAAAAATTAATGCATCTTTCAAGGCTCAATTCATACATGACCTCTTGAGTCTCTCTAGTGAGAATCCTGACTCCAGGCTCTGCCTCACAGCAGCCTCCTACTGCCTCCTCTCAGTGTGAGGGCCGGGACCAGCAGGGTCAGCACCACCTGGGGCTTGTTAGAAGTGCTGAGCCTGGCTGCACTCTGGAGCTGCTGAAGCAGTGTCCGTTGCAGTGAGAGCAAGCCCCAAATGCCTCATGTGCGTTGTAAAGTTTGAGAAGCAAAGCACTAGATACTTATTTCTTTCTGCATTTAGTTATTCACAACAACTAATTGTCATTCCAATTTGTCTGATATTTTCCAAACAGAAGGGCCAGTATATTATTTATATTTGTCTCACCCAGGGTGACTAGCATAATACTTCCCATATGGTTGCTACTTGGCACGTCTTTATTAAATGTATTTATTAAACTGAGAGCAAATTCCATGGGAGTTTTACCTTTATACCTCCCATAACTCATAGAAGCAGTCTTCTCCTCTACACTGTAAGTTCTGGGAATGTGGTTATTATAGCTCCCCTGTTCATAAGGTGCCTAACTAGTACATGGAAGGTACTTCAGTGATTAGTGATGGAGTGAGGCACTGAGTGAATTAATTAAGATGATTGATCAATGTATTGAAGAGGTTTTTAGAAGTATAATTTTATTTTGAATTTATGTAGTTAACAAATACCTGTAAGAACTTATGTGTCAAGGAGTGGTATAAGTCCTTGAGGAATACTAACTTATTCACATTCTGAACTAAGATGGTTTGTCAAGCATAAATCTATGTTAAATCAATAACGACTGATTTGAGATACCTCATTCAATTCTAATATATGGTACAGCACATCTACTTCAAGTTGTTTTGTTGCAGATGACCAATTAATGTACCATAGTTGATATAAAATGTCAGTATTTAAACAATTTTCAAATTTTTTCTTTTCATCTTTTCAAAATTCTTCCAAATTGATTGGAAGTAAATATTGCAGTAAATTGTATGTCACTCACTCCTGCCTGGAATTAAAATAGAGAAGCAAGATATATCAGCAGGAATTCATGTTCCATTTCAGAGGAGAAATGCCCTGACACATGCAATCAGATTTCAGGTCGTAATGTATATTCTATGTTTTATGCATTGACCATGTATGTGCACATGATTTTATGTTCAAAGGGAGGGAAGATCCCAATCCGGTGGACGTCACCAGAAGCCATAGCCTACCGCAAATTCACATCAGCCAGCGACGTGTGGAGTTACGGGATTGTTCTCTGGGAGGTGATGTCCTATGGAGAGAGACCATACTGGGAGATGTCCAATCAGGATGTAAGTATTTGTAGTCTATGAGTTATGGGTTCAGATTGAGAGATCAAGCTGTGCAAGGAAGTGGAGCATAATGAAACCAGGTGGCTCCTAGTTTGTGACGTTGAAATAGAATACTTAGAAGAAATGAGACCATTTCCAAATCATGCAAGGATATTAACAAAGTGAAGACATTTGTAACAAAATGTAATGAAATAAGTGACTAACAAGATAACCAATAGATATCAGGGAGTGCTTGAACTATTTTTGCTACAAAATTGTGTCTATGTAATATTAGTAAGATGCACATCTGTCATCCTTTGTAGATTTAATTAGTTGCATCTATGCCAATGTTTTGTTTACTTAAATATAGTATTTCCCAAAGTCAGACAAAACAACCAATCTCTAGCATGTTGTTTCTCATAATGCATTAAACTTGCACATGAATTTAGTTATACAAATTGAAGTCTCTGGATGGAGAAAATGATCTTTAACTTTCTATATAACTGTGATCTGATTTTTCAAAAGGATTTTTGTTTTTATAGGTCATGTTTTGCTAATGCGGAGTAAAAGGGTGGTATTGGCATATGTGATCAGCACTCAGGTTTTTCTTTATGCTTAGCCAGAGACTGTGAGTGTCAGCCGAAAGACACATGAGAAGGAAAGCTGAGATGCTTTGAGTCATTTCCTACTCACCACATATAAAACTGCTTTTAATGTATTTGGATATAAAAACCTGACCGTGCTTTTTCAAACAAGCTGTTATAATAGTACTGGGAAGATCAGACTCACTTTTCCACTTCTATTTTCCAAATCCTCTGATATAAGAGGATCTCAAAGTGTGGTCTCTGGACCACACCAGCAGCTTTAGCATGGCAGAGGAATTAGTAGGAATGCAAATCCTGGCCTTACCCCAGAGTTATGGGATCAGAGGTGAGTCATCTGCATATTAATAAGTCCTTCCAGAGGATTCTGATACACAGTCAAGTTTGAAAATCACTGCTTTACATGATTTTAAAATGCTAATGAACTAATAGGTACTTAAATGTGCAGCACATGGGCTTTTCCCAAAGGAACTTACTATGATTAGGAAGGTGCCATCTGAACTGTGGTATAACTAAAATCTGTATACTAATTCTTTCTACTTTCATTCATATATAGCTTCCATTGAAATCTATATTACCAAATAATAATTTCTTTATAACTCACAGAATTTTTTATATCATAGAACATTTCTTTTGATTTTAATCTGAAAAGTATCTTTCCAAACTCTTTTTTTCCTAAATTCACTTTCTCTTGATCTTCCTTTATATAATATTCTTGGGCATGAGTAATATTTGTGTGATATGTTATTATCCTTTTAAGCAATTTAAAATGAGAACTTTTTCACTTAGCTTTAAAATATTAATATTAGTGTGCCATGCCCATGAAGAATTAAAAGAAGTCGCACCTCTTAAGTCTCTGGAAACCTTGCTTCTCACACAGGTAATTAAAGCTGTGGATGAAGGCTACCGCCTGCCGCCTCCCATGGACTGCCCAGCTGCATTGTATCAGCTGATGCTGGACTGCTGGCAGAAAGATAGGAACAACAGACCCAAGTTTGAGCAGATTGTCAGCATTCTGGACAAGCTTATCCGGAACCCAGGCAGTCTGAAGATCATCACCACTGCGGCAGCAAGGTGAAACATTAGAATGTAAATTAAAGTGTACCTACAAAGTGCAATGGAAGAAATGGGAGAGGAGAGATGAATTTTTTTCTCATATGAGAAGAAAAGAAGGGTTAATATATTTGATGCTTCTGAGAGAAACTAAAGGCGAAGATATCTGTCTGGTTTAATGATTTATATTCTCATTGTATACATAAGAGAAAAACAGTTCTTTTACATTTTGATCATATGTGCTCTTATAGGAAAACTACAGGGTTTTAGTGAAAGAACTACACTTCGTGTGCACATAAATCCACAGTATTAAGTGGTGTGTATAAAGCTCCATAATGGTGATGTACTGTGTCTCATGTGTAAAAGACACAATATAATGCCTTATTGGAAGGAGTTTTCTTCTCTTGTTTCTTTTTTGCACATCTGCTCTCTTTACTGACAGTCTCCAAGAGTTATGACTTTCAAATTGATACAGCATTTGCTAATGCACTTTGTGACAGAGTAAATGATTTTTTATTTTACTAGGAATAATTATTTAGAGCACACTTGATCCAATTGTTACATTATATTTGAATAAGTTGAATAAGGGAAATCTGAATCAAAGCCTTAATCTCAGTATATAAGAATCATAGAATATTTTGTGGGAATAATATTTAGGGGTCACTAAAATTGAAGTTGGTGATATATTCTTAGTAGGTAAAACTACTCATAACTTATCCTGTAAGGATGAATCTCTGTCTTAAACTCCACAGAGAGAGACTCTACAGACTCTTTTGGTAATCCACCTGACAGTTTAACAAAGAACAGGATAAGAAACCTGTCCCTCCCTGGGCCATACGGTCCTCATTTTGCACCCTGAAGCCATTTCTTTTGATCTTTACTCAATAGCAATCATAGCAAAAAAGAACATCTTTTCAATTCTTTCCATATCATGAAAAAGACATTCAAATCATTTCCACAGGATGTTGTTATCAATATAGGCAGTTCAATGTTTCAGAAGCATTGTTACTTTTGAAGCTTTATTTTAAATAAGGAACGAATCAGGCCTTCCCCAGAATTCCCCACCACTCCAGATTTCCTTTTTTCATTTTTTTTGTTTAAACAACAGAGAGTGAAAAGAAGCTATATTTCCAAGGTTCCTATTTTCCAAAGACTTAAAACAAGCCTGAATGTAGACTAACTTCTAGGCAAGATGGAAGTTAAAAATATCTTAGAATTTCATCATCATTAAATAGCATGAGATTTCCTGCTGAAAGACTAAAAACAAAAGCATGTCTCTTCCATCTTGAGGAATATAAGTATCAAGGAACCCAGCTGAGAGAATGTTATCAATATAAAGACTAACTCATACAATATGATCTAGAGAAATTTAACTCCAATTTTATGTGGGAAAATAGTCTTAATATCAGGTCATAGTATGTCAGAGTATGCCCTAGCATCCAAATTTTAACATACTTCTTAAATTCATTTTTCCATTCTTATTGAAATCTATTGAATATATTTTCTCCTAATATATATTCTTTAATGCCTGAATTAATTACATATATTTTGTCACAACTCATATAATTTTAGGAAATTTTAGGAAAAATATAAATATTTTTCTAAGAAGTTCCATCTATCTTAATTCACTAAATATAAAAGTTTTGGAAATTGTTTTCATATGTTTACTCATTACCATTAAAGTACACAACTTGGAGGATTGTATCATTATAAATTTATTAGCAACAACCTCAAGAAATCTTTTTTTCCTTTAGAAAATTTGCTTTCCCACTTTTGACAATGTATTTCATCCTTTTTCATCACTGGTTAAATTCATTCCCTTTCCCTTTAGCTTTCCACTGATGCCTTTGCCACATACTTTATTGAGAAAATACAAGCCATCAGATGGGACATTCCAGCAGCAAAACAAAAACCTTCTGGTGCTGCACCCACCCGTCTTGTCCTTCCTTCCTCTAATTACAAGAGAGGAAGAGGGGAGTACCCCTGCTTGTCAGAGGCAGATCCTCTCTCCCTCTCCTCCCATCCCTCCCTAGCCCTCTCTTCGTCCCTACCCCTCCCTCTCTATAATGCATGATTTCACTTTTCAACCCTAGTTAGAGTTGATGATTCATAACAGAGTCATTCCCATAGAATCTTCCACTGAGAGTGTCTTTGTGAATATCGTTGCTGGTAGTGGAGAAGGTGTATGATCACATGGTCAAAGTGTGCCAGAATAAGAACTCACTTAGATATTGCAAGGAGGAGTGAGAAAAGAAGGGAAGTTATATTAAATTTTATGTTACATTTGTTTTATAGTAGTTGATTTATTTTCCTAAAATTAGTATTTCCTAATCAGTGGAGACAAGTATGAGTTTGAAGTTTTGACTGTACATCAGTATGAAGCTACAAATATTTATTTAGCAGTTATTGTGTTTAAGTATTATGCTAGGCTCTGTGTTGGTTATAGAGGTAATAAAACACAGCCTCTACCCTCAATAGCTTGCAGTTAAATATGGGAAGAAAAGAAATGTTCAGAAATACTGTAATACCCATCAGATATGTAAAAAATCTCGCAAGAAGACAAGGTATTCAGGAATCATGAAGGAAGGATGAGTTTACTTTTAGCTTTGGGATGCACTGGCAGTTGTAGAGAAGTGACTTTCAGATTGTGGGTGAAATTTCTACAGGCGGATAACAGGATACGACCATGCCGGGCTAGGGGAACACTGTCCAAAAAACCCAGACACACAAAAACTCAGGACACTTCCAAAAGACCTTGCATAATACAATTATGCTGGAATATAGGATAAAAGACATTGTAGAGAAAGAGACTGATGGATGCTTTCATCAGATAATCGAAGATTTAATGTCATCTCTAGAAATTTGGACATTCGTCCGTGAGGAGGAGGAGAGTCATTGAAGATACTAAGTGATAGGTTGCACTGTGCCTATGGACTAATTCTCTGGCAGCTACACTTAAGAAGGGCTGGAGGGAAAGAAATCCATGATAAGGAGTTAGGAGGTGATTTCAGTGATCTCAGAAAGGGCTTATGCTAGGGTAGAGTAGAGGAAATACAAAGAAAAGGTGTGAATTCAAAAAGTTTTACTGAAGTGAATGTTCTTGGACATGGTGACTGATGAGATGTGCAGAGTGACAGAGAAAGTACCAGGGACCACTTCCAGGTTCTGAGTGTGGAGAGCTATGAGAACAGGGCTCTCATTGACAGCAGTGGGAAGGGCAGAAGGAAGAACAGGTCTGTGAGGCAGATGAGCATTCTGGGCACGATGAGACCAAGTCCCACGAGAAGCTGGAAGTTCACATCTCAGTCTGGGGGAGACGTTAAAATTAGAGTGAGGCATACAATTTAGAGCATTCTCTCTGTAAAGAAAATGAAAGAAGCCACAGTCAGAAACATGTTTAATAGGTACAAATCTCAATCTAGCAATGCTGGTTTTCACCGTAAATATAACCTTTTTTATTTTTCTAAAATTATTTAATTTCTAATTAAAGCTCTCATATCCCATAGATTATCAGGAAACTTTTATCTCTGAATAATGGAGGGTGTTGGTTCACATAGGTTGACACTGAGACATTCCCTCCTGTCAATCTGCTGTACTGTACTTTCAGCTTCTCCCTACTGCTGCTGTGCTGCCCTGGGGTCCAGGGATCTTTCTGAAGCCTCTAAATGCCTTGGTCACTTAGTCCAGAAGTCATTAACTCAATGTCTGTAAGAGCCAAGAAGCTAATTGAAATGAGTGCATGATGCCATCGTCTGTAACAGGGTTTGCTGGTAGCTTATGGAGATTTCAGCCTCCTTATAAGGGGATGTAGAGCCAATCAATGCCAGTGGATGGCTATCCTAGAAGGAAAAAAGTATGGAACATTCCTTAATATCTCAAAACACTAACCCACTGCATAGACTTCCACCTGGAGAGAAAGAAAGCAGTTTCTATTGAGAGCTTTGGAGAACAGTACCAATTACAGAGCAGAAGGATGTGAAATGGTAGGCAGAAACAAGGGACATCACAGCTAGAAACAAGACAGACGATCACAGAGACCACATCCCAAGGATTTTCTGACAGTGGATAGAATGAACTGTGTTATCAAAAGCTGCAAAAGAGTGAGGAAGAAAAAGACAATTGAGGAAAAAAGCCATTCAAGTGAGCAATGACAAGGACATTGGGTTCTTTTTAGAGAACTATTTTGATTGTTTTAGAGTGATAAATGGGATAAAATTTTAAGAGGTTTAGGTATAATTATATACAAATTATATAACAAATTAAACAATACATTCCACATATTTAGAATGAGGTTCTAAAGTGAAGGCAACAAAATTCATGGCATAAAGACTTAAATAATATGACTAACATATTTAGAATGTGGTTCTGAAGACCCAATCATACTTAGTTAATTTAACTGAAATGATTTTAAATATATTGTTCCATTGCGTTGATTGCTAGATTTGAAGAGATTTATCTTTATTACTTGGAGGATAAATAGCAAAAATAAGCAATACATACAGTTTTTCACTATTAATGGCACTAAATTAGCATTAATAAAATACTTCTGATCTCTGAAAACATAATATAATTCTTTTTGAGAAAAACTGCTGTCTGGACAAATATTATATCCTTTAGGAGAAGTCGAATGACCAAAAAACAATCTGTTTCTCGAAATGATTTTGACCTCCAGTTCTGAGACTAACAGGATGGCTTTCCTCACTGAATAAATATGCTACAGAACCTTTTAGAGGGAAGCAAATATGCCAAATACCCGGGTGATTCTTTTTTAATCTTAAAAGTTAAAGTAGGTAATTTTACCACTGGGAGGAATTAAACCAGATATAATAGCTATAACTGCTCAGATTTCTGTCCTTAAGGCCTAGAGATAATTAAAGTAAACACAATGACTTTCCTTCTCTTTAATGTGTCATTTATATACTAATTTCCTGTTAGGAACTATATATACTCGAAATTATTTTTGGTTACTGATGACAAACTAAATTCATTTAATCCTATCTGGAATTCTTAATGTTAGAGAT